AATATAAGAGACTGAAACACTAAGTTTTAAAATGAATTTTTTTATTATATCGATATTTGGCATATATTTTTGGAAAAAGTTTAAAATAAAAGGCACAAAACAAATTTATTTTTCAATGTGATAATCTTTGAATTTATCAGTTCTGTCCTGTCATAGTAAATCTCCTGCAACGCAATTCTAAAGTAAATTACTTTGGGGAATATTATAGTAAAAGATAAAAAATGGTCCTTATACAGTTATAAGAAACATTATTTGGTTTGGACACTGAATGGCCCATTATAAAAAGAATTTTTTGCACCATATAGTATCACCAAAAGAATGGCCAAGACATAGGTTAAAATAAAAATTCTACACTCACCTGATTCTGAAGCTGAATTAGTTGAATTGGTTGAGGTGCTACATTCACTAATGCTCCGTTCAGGCCGGTACCACTGGATTCCTGATAACTCCTCTATTCGTCTTTGAAGATTTCCATTATCTTTTGTTAGTTTTTCTAGCAGCTGAGCATTTCGTTTTTCCTTTTCTTCTAGAGTCTGCAGAAATAGACAAGAAAGCATAAAATGTGAGAAGAAAAAGAAGCAAAAATAACTGGTTGGAAAAATCTATTTACAAAATGACATAAATATCTGTTCTTGTATACAGGTAATCCAGAAATGTTATCATTATTCTTTAGTATTTCACCCAAATCTAGTATCATTCTAAAGTATCATATAATAATTCACATATAGAAAATGCAATAGTGTGTGTATGTGTGTGAAACAAATACTACACTCATATCATAAGCAGAAATGTCAGAGAGCAATAGAGTGAGTGTACAGATACTTTTTTCTTAAGCATAAATGCTAATCTATAGCTAAATAATCTTGCTATTTTTAATGGTTTCTATTTATGATGATATTCATAATTCAAATATATACATGTGTGTGTGTGTATGTATGTATGTATGTATGTATGTATGTATGCAACTGAGACAGATAGAGATATGTGTTAGCACCTGAGAGGAAATACATTTGTAAGTATGTAAGTTAACACACAAAAAAAGAAGAAATACACACCTGTTGAATGAAAAATAATGTCAATGAACAGCCAACAAGAATATGAAGAAAGCAAGGAAAAGCAAGAACATAAAACAAAATATCATTAAAAGATACATGGTCATCTACTTCTCACAAAAATGTAAAGACAGAATTATAGAATTTGTATTTGTAGAGAACTTTAATTTTATCAGAGGAGTTGTAAGAAATAAGGCAGGAAAGAAACATTTCACAAAGGAATAAGTGTCACTGGTTTGTTAGGGAAAAATATTTACAAAATAAGCTTTCCTGAGAAAGATAACTGTCTCTTTGTCTAAGAGGAACCTGAATAAAGATAACAGTTTTAACAGGAACTTGAAGAAATTTCTTGCTATGAGCAGATATAGAAATATGATAAATATCAAAGATCAAAAGTTTGTTTATAAATTTTCTGATGGAAATAGAAAATTCCAGATATAAAAATGTTCCACAGAAAAATAGAATTTTTAAACAATCAAATTCTAATTCCAAAAGTTGAATTTTTTTTTAAGGTAATGTTTTCATTTACATTTAGATAATTTTCCTTATGTTACATGTATGTAATAAAGTGGGTGACGATGCCTTGATTAATGATATAAGATGCAATATTAAAAACTTCAGCTAAAGAGACCAACTTAAATTTCTCATGGAAAAAAAAAGAACTTTTTGAAAATTAAATTTTTGTATCTTTTCCCAGCTAAGAGTTAGTGAGAAGCAGAGACTGAAACTTAAATTATATTGATCTGCAGAATGGAAAGCAAACTAAAAACTGCATAAAAGTTAGAATATTTTTAGAATAAAAGAGACAACAGGTGACTCATACAGAACATGAAATATTTACAGAATCCATTTTCACTGTTTTATCTTCACATCTGGAGCTTTTTCTTTACTTTTTTTTATTGTAACATCATTTTTCATTTGACTTCAACAAATACATGAATTTTCTCCATAGAGTTTTAAAAACTTTTACGTTGTTTTTTCTTCTAAATTTTTGTGTTTGTTGTTGAGGATACAATGTCAAGTTCATACCTGTTTATAAGTGTGGGGAGGAAGTTCTAATAATAAATAGACACTCACATTCACATCTTCTTTTTAATTTCTAAAAGAAAAATATTTTCTAAATAGCAGGATATTGTTTGATTTTCAATGAAATCACTTTTCTATCTTTTTCCATGCTGTTGCTGCTTTAAATTATAACATTTTTTTTTATTCTTTTTGCTTCCTTTATTTTCCGCATTTAAAATTTTTCATCACATTTACTTAGAAGCTGTGGTTTTCTTCATCTTATTGGCTGAGATGAGAAAGATATCATTTTCTTTACTTCATCCTTTCCATAAATTACTCCACCCTTAAACAAAAAATAAAACTCAAAAAATTTAATTAGCTGAAGATCTGAAGGATAGATTGAAAGTGAAAGTCAAGAAGAAAATGTTTGCCTCTAATGAAAAGAGAAAAATTTAAATAAATCTATTGACAGGAAAATAAGAAATATTTTTTTCAAAATAATCATTTTTTATTTTTCATTCTCCCTCCTTCACAACTTGTAATATTGTTATTGGTTTGTTTCATAAAGAAAACTGAACAGAAGATCTGATCAGGAAATTACATGCACTGAGTTTGAGAAGATGATTTAACCAGAAAATCATGATGACAATAAAAAGAGATAGGGTAGAGAGATTCATACAGACATTTTATATCACTCATATTAGTAGGAGGAGGAGGGTGTAGAAAACACACAAAACTGAAGAGAAAGCTGAAAACATTATGAATTATTTTTTATGGTTTTTCCCCTTTAAAAAAAATGTTAAAGACTTCAACAGAAAACAGAAACAGAAGTTTAAGATTACATAGATGGCATGAGGCGAGGAATGATGATTTTATACTGAGATGTGTTGGGGTGGAAAGAAGGAAATCTAAAAAAGATGAAAAAAGATTTTCTAGAAAAGAGAATATTCAATGAAGATCTTTTTTTTCATAAACTGTGAAGTGAAGAAGGGAATGAATGTTGATTCAGAATATTCACAAATGGGAAGAATCAGTTGAGTTTTTGCTAACATTTTTAAAATAATTAAAAGAAAAAAGTTCTGCTTCTTGTTTGGCTTGCTTTTTCTTTCCAAGCAAGATAACCTTTTTAATTCGGCAATCAATTTAAATTTAATCAAAAATTCAGGTAATTAAAATGTCAGATGATTATCTGCATTTATCGTTAACATTCTTATAAGTCTCCAGACTTATAAAGTGTTTCTCTGAGATTGTGAGAAGACATGAAAAAAGTGTGTATGTTTATAGAGAATAGAGGCAAAGAATGTGTGTGTGTGTGTGTGTGTGTGTGTGTATGTAAAAGAACATGTTTATAATAGGATATAGAGGAGTATAGTGTGATACATCAAAAGTTCACAAATATAAGTAGAGAGTGTATGCATAAAATTTAAAGAGCAAAATAAATAAGCTTAAAATTGTGTTTATAAAAATATGTAGAATATATATGGGGATAAAACAAGATGTGCATGTATGAGCATGTTGACAAAATATAGATATAGTGATGATCTTTAATACAATAAAGATAGAATTAGACCATTGAAGATCTGAGTATAGAGTAATATATAAGTATATGCAAGTAATAAAATATGTTTGGTATATTAATATAATATCTATATCAATATCTATATTGATATATCTATATAGCTTGTTATGCTTAAGTACAGTAAGCAAGTTTGTCTTTTTGTCATCAATTGAAAGCATGACAGATGAGTGCATTTGGAGCTATATTCCCATGTATTGGTCATGATGTGTATTGAAAGTAGCTATATGTTTAAACACTATAAGATATTTATAATTTGTGTGTGTGTGACTAAAAAAAGATGTATTAAAAAGTGTTTTTCCTAAATGCAGAAGTACTTGATTGTATATGGAGTAAAATAAGTGCCAAAAGATGTTCACAACTGAAACTGTGAGAGGTACTATGTAATAAACTATTTTGTATGTTCAAACTAATATTGATCATATAATATTTCTCTTTGCACAAAAATGTTACCAAAATTACCTGTGTACACTCACACACACAAATACTCTAGAAATCCTTTCTCAGATAAGAGTAAAAGAAATAAATATTGAAAAATACATTTTAAATAAATGTGCACAAAAACAGTTGTACATATGAAGTTAGGTGTAAGAGGAAAGAGAGAGAAATATATATATCTGTAGTTTTCTGTTTCTTTTTCTCTTTTAAAAAAGAAGTGAGGAAAATCTAGTTAAGAGAAGAGACAAAAAATAACTGAATAAGTGAGTTACTGATTAGCAAAAAGAAAGAACATCTTAACAAGCCCAGTGACAAATTCTGTGGTGATACAAGGGAATTGCAAACAAGTTTTCCTAGCCCCAAACTCTGCTTTCTATTTCTAAGAAAGAATTGAGTAATTAGTCTAGATGTTGAAAAGGGAACAAGAAAGCACTTGGCTTAGAAAGAAACAAATACAAGGGGATGGCTGAATCAGACTGTCTGTCATTTTGTGTGTACTTGGTGTGTGGGGAGGCAGAAGACCTCCTTGAACTCTGTAATTGTGAGTGTTTATGCGTGCAGAGTACATAATGATGATGCACCTCTCAGGCAAGAGTTAAAAAAAAAAAATCTAATTGTGTAACCCCTATATTTAAACAAACACAAAGAAAACATATGCAAGGAAAAGTGGAGGCAAAAATCATACCAGCTCAGAAACGAATTGAAAATAGGGGGAAAATCTAAATTTTAAAGGAAATATTTTTGTGGATGTGGGATGGATTTTTGATGTTGATGGGTAATTATTTACTGACAAATTCAACAGATTATGTATCTTAAAAAAAAGTAAAAAGTGATTTAAGGTTACTCTGACAATTGAAGTTATTCCAATCTTCTGAATTTATGTATAGCTATATTATAATATTTTATTTAATTTTTGAGACATTTTTTCCATCTAACTGAGGAATTGTTCTAGTTTATCAAATACTTTTTTTAAATATATTTTTATAAACAGATACTTTTCTTAGTACTGAAACTTTTGATTTGAAATATATTTTTCAAAATATTTCATAGAAAAATAGTACAGCTTAGGGCTACTAAATGAGAATTCTATACTTGATGCTTGGCTAGTGAGTTGCATAGCTACTGTAGTAATAAAATAACTATAACAGCTACAATAATGAATTTCAGTTTGTTATTCCGAAAATATTTAAATTTTATAAAGTTAAAATTTCTGCATACAAAAATTAACATGATATCAACTGGTATAAATATATACTGGTAATATTATTATTATTAACTTTTTTATCTAAGGAAAAAGATGTTATCTTACAATGTGTTTTTTCAACCACACAAGCATAAAATACATATTTATCTAATTACTAACTACATAACAGATATGTAAAAATTGTTTAAATTGATAGTAGATAGATTATGTTTTTATTTAAAGAATCATAAAATTTAATGAAATTATTTATCCAATGAC